AAAGTTTTGTGTTGGGGGAAGAAGTTGAGAAGAAACTCAAAAGGAAGGATTCAACAAAAAGTTTTAACAGTAAAATTTTTGAGGATTTTGGGTATATATGTTTTACGTTTCAGTTTGTTTTTTGTTTAAATCATAAAAAAAGGCAATCACCACAGGCAATGGACGTTGGTGAAGCCATAAGTTGTTTTGTAGAGAAATAAAAAAAAAAAAGATAAAGCGGTGAAATAGCAAAAAAAGTAAAAAGAGACTAACCCAGTTTGAGGATCCAATCCAATAAAAAGCTCAAATCGTAACTGATTCCAATAACTAGCAACTTGCAGTGGGCAAGCACAATTACAAAGTTCCATGTACCTTGGAATCAATTGTAGCCCAATTTATTTGGTAATTTCTATTTTTTTCTTTTTTATTTGTATATTTATTTATGTTAATTAGTTGTTTCTCTTTCTTTTTTATGCATATTTAAAATAAATTTTTATAATAAATTCATAATTCTTACCAAATTATTGGAAGATTTTCATGAGTTTAAAAATTTTAAATTAAGTTTTTCTAAACGATTGGAGAATTTCATAATGAAAATAAATTATCTTTAATCCTATCAAACGATTGGAGAATTCAAATCTTGAATTAAGTTTTACCAAACGATTGGAGCATTTAATATATTTTCTAAAAAATAAATTTTCAACCCTACCAAACTATTGGAGGATTCAAATTTTTGTTAAATCTTACTAAACTATAGGAAGATTTAATAACCTTTATTTTTAAAATAGGTTTTCAAATAAAAATTTTACCAAACAATTAAAAGATATGCATTGATATAAAATCCCACTAAACAATTTGAGGATTTTATTGTTTGCTTTCGAAAATGATTTCTTAGAAAATATGTTAACAAATTCGACGATTGAGCCTTTTCAGAATAAAACATGAATCTCCATGAATACTCATAAAGTGAGAAAATTATCTTAAATTGCTACAAAACAATTGGATTAACTTTAAGATAAATTTTCAATAATTAAATTACTTGGTAAAATTCAAAAATATTTTAAGGTTTAGAAAACATGAAATAAAACTGGTACCATTATTCAATGAGTATTGTGAGAGTGCTATAACATTTTTTACACATAATCGTACTTTTGAACTTAGATCTGATTTCATGGATTAAAATTTACAATTTAAAGATACCTAAGTCAATGTTGGGATATCTCTTTAAAAAAGAATATATTCAGTTAGGTGGCCAATCACACCTTAAATAAAACAAGATTAGGGGTGACTCCTTTAAGTTATGTCTAGCTATAGATCTACGGATCTATACATTATAACAAGTATAAAATCCAATAAAGGGAAAGACAGTCAGAAGCAGAAATGTGGTTTTACACGAAAAAAAATCATAGCAGATCTTGAAAAAAATGAAAAGACTATATGAGTTACTATTAAGTGTGATGATTCAATATCAACAAAGGTTTCACTAAAAAAAGCCACGGATGATGAAAATGAATAAAAATATAACTTAGGGATATGAATGAGTCAGGTACATTCAATTTTGAGTAGAAAGAGCAGTCATTTCTACTAAAAAATGTTCAGTAAAGTGAGCAATCTTCTTCACTAGAGAGTGTTAAGTAGAGGAAGCTACCTTTGACATTAAGTAGTATAGAGTCTCAGCCTAAGAGATCTACCAAATAACACAGGTCATCTACCAGGTATCCAAATTCATATTTTATTTTAGTTACTAGTAAGAGGAAGCTAAAGAGTTTTCAAGATATACAGACTACTTTAGATAGAGAACATTGGCTAAAAGTAATGAAAAAATGGAGTTATTACAAAAAAATGATACATATCATCTTGTTAAACTTTCAAAAGAGAGGAAATTGTTGAAGAATAAATGGGTGTTCAAGCTGAAAAAATATGGTAATAAGCTACTGAGATACAAAGCTTGATTGATGGTGAAAGATTTTTTTAAAAAAATCGACATTGATTTTGATGAGTTCTTTTCTCAAGTTGTAAATATGAGTTTCATTCGAGTGGTACTAGAGTTAACAACTAATTTGAATCTTGAGCTTGAGCAACTTGATATTAAGACTGCATTCTTGCATAGTGACTTATAAGAAGATATTTATATGGATTAGCCTGAGAGTTTTGAAGTGAAAAAAAAACACTCAATTTGCAAACTAAAAAAAAGTTTATATGGCTTAAAATAAGCTTCACGACAGTGGTACAAAAAGTTTGATTCTTTTATGGTAAGTTATAGCTATAAAAGAATAGCAGTGGACCTTTGTATATATGTCAAAAAAAATTTGACGGTAATGTCATTATTTTTTTATTATATGTTGATAATATGTTAATGTGGGATAATATGCTGGTATAGTTCATAGGTTGAAAGAATAATTATCTAAGTCTTTTAACATGAAGGATTTAGGTCTAGCAAAGCAGATTTTTAGTATAGATATTATCCGAGATAGGAGAGCTAAAAAGTTATGACTGTCACAAGAAAAATATGTTGAACGGGTGCTTAGTAGATTCAACATGTAACATGCTAAATTAGTTAGAAATCCATTTGCCAATCATTTTCATCTGAGTAAGATATATTGTCCGGTGATTAAAGTAGTGCAACTAGATATGTCTAGTATTCTTTATTTTTTTCAGTCAGTTCTTTAATATATCTTATAATTTACACATAGCCTAATATTGCTCACGCAGTTGGTGTAGTAAGTAGATTTATTCATAATCTGGGAAAGGTTCACTGAAAAAAAATGACATATATTTTTAGATATTTGAAAAGTACCTCAAAGATGTGCTTGAGTTATGAAGCTTCACAACTAGTTTTAAAAGAGTTTACTTATGCTAACATGGCATATGATCTTGATGGTAAGAAATTTACTTTAGGGTATTTATTCACTTTGACAGAAAGAGTTATATCTTGACAGTCTAAGTTGTAAAAATATGTTACTTTATCAACTATTGAGGTTGAGTATATTGTAGTAACCGAAGCAAATAAATAAATGTTTTGGATGAAACGTTTTTTTCTTGAATCAAAGGTTAAATCATAATGAGTATGTGGTGTTTTGTAATAGTTAAAATATTTTAAATTTGAGTAAGAATGTCATATACCATGTTAAAATAAAAGCACATTGATGTTAAATATCACTAGTTGCATTTGGTGATTGAGGAGCAACATATATAGTTATAAAAAGTCTCATACTTATGAGAATGTAGTAGATATGTTAACTAAGACACTTTTTAGAAAAAAAACTTGAGCTTTGCAGTAACTTATCCAAAATGGATTCCTTGACCAAAGTAAATTTTAAATGAAACTACTATGATGATGGATCTCTTCCTAATAGGGCTGAATGGGGAGATTGGTAGGAACGTAGGATCTAGCCTCACTTTTTTTAATTAAAAGGCCTAAAGCCTTTTATATTTGACCAAATAATAAAAAGTCCTAAATAATAAAAAAATGGGGGCTATTTAGGCATGAAAGAATGGTGGAGCCGAAAATGAAAGAAAAGAAATCAAAAAAAAAAAAAGAGGAAAAAAGGAGAAGAAATAGTTATTAGTTGTAATCAGAAGTCGATCTATGATTTGATTGAACTAAAATTTTATCAGCTGGTTCATGATACAGTGTTTGATATTTTGAACGGTAGAGATAGGGCTTGAAGCTTTTTAAGAATAATTTTAAGGATGTATTTGTTGAGTCATTTATTTGGTGAGATTTCTCCAATTGTCTCTTTAGTTATTGATTAGTTATAGTTTTAGCTAGAGAAAAATTTTATATATCTATTATTTGATAGTGAAGATTTTTTTTTGTGGTCCATGATTTTTTTCTTTTACATCAGAAGGTTTTTCACGTAAATCTTTATGTATTTTATTTTTTATGCTTTGTTGATTATTGATTGTTGTCTATTTACTATAAGTTTATTATGATATATTACTTTTACATTGTTGTATTTGTCACTTCAGATTCAACAATTTATTATTTAAAAAGTTAAAATACACTACTTTTATCCAACCAAAGAAAAAAAAATTAGAATTCTCTAAAATTTCCCCGTTAAATCATTAAAGATTATATTTTCAAAATTTCTATTACACTTTGTTGATTAAAGGAGAAACAATTGTTAAATGACCTCTGTCCTCTTAATTGAAGTATCAATTGAACATATTTTTACTGATTTAATTGCGGAATTGCTTTTATATTAGGTATAGATTTTTGCGGCAAAACGAGTTATTTGCTTCATGGGAAGCACAGGCGAAAGAAAATCATATGGCCCATCAACAACAGCCGAAGGCCCATGAGCACCAAACCTTAGCAACCCATGTATCCCTAGTAGACAGCAGACTTATACAAAAAAAAGTGAGCCCATTATTTTCATCATTTCATCCAAGCAAACCCAAGTAATCCATTTGTAAGTGCCACTTTGTCGGACCTTACCTGGGAACTTGGGTTTTGTGAAGAACATATAGAGGAAAGAAACTAAAAAGCCTTCAAATATGAATGAATGGCGCGGAAGTGTATTCACTTTTCACTTTTATCTTGTACGTGTCTTACAAAGTTTTGGTATATCATAAGATTAATCCTAGTTAGCCACCTTAATTTAGATGAGGGAGATGAGAAAATTTGGGTATGGATCTAGAGAGATCTAGAGACATGAAGAGGTTTTTTAAACAACACAGTTAAAATTTTTTTTACCATGACTTTTGCAAATTGTTTACTGTGTCATCTTTTTATTTTTTTCATGTCATTATTTTCCATGTGTTGAAAAAAATCAACATGTCAATAAGTTAATAGTTGTCCATTATTTCATCCATTAAAAAGCTTTTATGGTAGATAATAATAGTTTAAGGGTTTATTTAAAAATAATAAAAGGATAAGGACTTAATTAAATTTTTTAAATATTATAGGAGCCTTTTTCTTATTTTAGTTTATTTTTAATGTTAAACAAATTTTTTTTTTACTTTTTAATTAAAACTTAAAGCCAAATGTACCCGAGTCGATTTTAACGTTTGCAGTACTTTTTATTTTATTTTATATTCTCTCCCTTATATATCTACCACCAGCGGCAAAGCGGGTAACTTTACTTTTACCCTCTGCCTTCGTCTTTCACCCCCTTTTCCTGCAAACACTCCAACACAACCCAAAACGAGTCGGGTGAATGACCCGAATATAACCCTAAGAAGTAAATTGCAATTGGCGGGAAAAACCAACAAAATCTAGAAGTTAAACCGATAGTTGGTTTTCACAGTCGGAAATTCCTTTCCAAGATTCGCATATGAAAGTCATATTCAAATGGACGACGTAAAGATCCTCACGGTCTCCGATCTACTCCGCTACGGTCGTCCCCACACCGGATCATCATCTTTCAGCCCTGCGATCGTCTCTCATCAAAACCCTAATCCATCCCCTGACCCGGGCCTGTCCAGTTCAAATCCTAGCCCTAATCGTAAAGCCCTGACCCCCTTGGATTGCCCTGCTGTTATCGTCGGAACCCTAAGACTCCCAACCTTAACCCTAAAATGTCCCCAAGAAAACTGCCTTGAATTCTCTGACGACGATTCCTCCGCCATCTGCTGCGACATTATAGGACTTGATGATCTCAGTATCATCGGTAAGAAAATCCACGTTCTTACCTGGAATTTCATTCCTTCTAAGCACCTTAGTGGCGGATTCTTGGAAATTGTTAAATGGAAGTTACCTGACTCGTTTAAGTTACCTGAATTTCATTCGAGTCACGGGCTGAATCAATGTTCCAGCTTGATAATAGATGAGTTTAAGTTAGTTTCGAGTTCTATTGAATCCAAACCTAGCAACGCTAAGACCTATCAAATTCACGGCGCTTTAGAATCAGTTAGTCCTGTTTCTGTTGTTCCATGTTCAGTTAACAATTCAAGTTCGAGCAATTCAATGAATCTTCGAGGTTTTCTTGTGAGAGTTATGACCTGTGAATGCAAATTGTGTCGTTCTAAAGAGTCTATCAAGGTTTTATATGCGGAAGCATGTTGTCATTCTTTTACTGAACCAGTGTTTGTATATTTTTGTGAGTCTGCTTGGTGTTGGCATCCTGTGATGACGAAGCTTACTGGGAATATTATTACAATTTCGGGTTTGAAGAAGAAGTTGGTTTTCATGGGGAAGCAGGGCTCGGATTTGATGTTTGTTACTGCAGAGAACTCGGTTTTGCATCTGCCTAAACTGTTGAAGAAATGGGTTCCCCTTTCATGTAATGCTGTTAAGGGAAATGGTAAGTGTGGTTCGTATACAGGCATTGTCAATAATGTTTATATGCAAGGAATGGTTGTTGAGCTGGACAAAGAAGTGTGGCTTTTACTAACTGATCAGTTACTCATGCCACCACATAGTCTTAGGGTTGGCGCAGTTGTAAGTAAAATATCCATTGTATTCATTTATGTTTTATTATCATAATCTTCTGCTTGTGGAGGGGTGGCATTGTGTATTTTTAACCGTTTGTTTGTTTCTTATGAGCAGATCTCAGTTATAAATGTCCATTTCGTGAATCCAAAATTTTCTTGGGCAAAATTTCTTGTTCTTGGGGCTTGCTTCAGAACCAGCATTAAAGTAGAATCATTCTCACCATATAAGACAGGGTATAGCTTATTCAAAAATTGTCATTCTAAATTGCCTGTATTCTTTTTTTTTTTTTTTGGATAATTAGAAAATTTTATTATTTATCCAATAGGCAATTATATTGCTACATCAAAATTGTTCTAGCCAATTTAGCTAGTACATGAGAATAAATCATACGTCAAACATAGAGTTGTTTAAGCCCCATCATCATCGTGGTTTGACTATGTTCTACGCTGGCCATCATCCTATCGCAACCCTCCTTGCTTTATCTGGTCTTGGGACCAGCAGTGTGGTAACACACAGGCAGAGTTAGTTGTTTAAGCCCCATGCTGTACAAAACTTTCTATTTACAGAGCCCTCTTCAATATGCTGCAATCCTGTAAGTCTCAATCTGACAGTCTCTTGGATATGACCAAGAACTTGTGTGGGTGACTCTTGCATGTGTCCATATATCCTATTGTTCCTCTCCTTCCACAGGTAATAAATCTAAGTGCTCCAACAATCCTTAATATAATGGGAATCAAGGATTTACCTTTGAGTTGTTTGACTGCACATCTCAATTCTTCCTCCCAGCATACCACTTTTTCACTGAGCTGACAAATCTTTTAAACCTCCTTCCATATGTGTTTGCAAAAAACGCATTCTAAGAACATATGGTCCTGCGATTCTTGCATTGAATGATATAACACACAATCAACATTAACTTCAATGCCCCAAGAGTACAGTCTTTGTTCTTTTGGTATTTCTATAGAAATTGAATTTGGCATTCTTTTATGTATTTCTTATTGATGGACCCATTTATATGCTGGCTCTACCAGTTCAATGATGGATGATTTCATGAAGGTATTTGATATGCTTAAGACCTGAAAGGATGACTGACATGCATGAAAAGTAATTCAACTATCTGCTGCAGGTGTCCTATATTGTCTCAAAAACAAAGCCAGTTGGGGAAGTTCATTGAGTCTTTAGCATTTTCTACGAGGCTGTGGTATGGATACTTTCAGCTTTCCAGAGATATTTTTGGTTTGAATTACTGGTTTAAGGTGCATAATTTTCTATATTATTTGTTTAATGTAGTTTTTGGGTTTCAGGGTACTACTTATTGTTTCATGTTTCCAGAAAAAGTTTTCTGGGATATTATCTGGAGAGAAGATTTTGGGATCAACACATGTAATTAACTTGCTTACCTTCTTGTGAGATTTTTGGCTGGAAACGAGTTCTAGTTTTATGAAGTCTGTTAGGTTTATTCAACAATCGATAAAATAGTTTTCTGCTGATCTGACTTGGATGGTTTTAAGGTATTTTCAGAAGGAAGGACTGGTTCAAGCATTTGCTAGCTCACATGTACCTTCATCAGTGTTTCGAGCTCGGGTAAAATATTAAATTCATATTGATATTGTAATTACATTTCTATGCTGTGATTCCATTATGATCTTGTCATGAGTTTGCTTTGCCAGTGTGGTGTATTAATGGAATTCAGTAAACATGAATCATGTGACTGTGCTACTGAACCATATCATGGCAACCTGAAGCTGGTAAGCTCCGGGCCCTACTTATTTGTTGGAATAGATATAAATTAACTTACTTCAGATTTTCATAGTGTTCGATTGATTAATATTTTTGTGGTTAGTTTGGTTTTCTCAACAGCTATTAAACATTGATTTTTTATGTCTTGTGGCTATTTTTAGGTGGTACCTATTTCCAGTTTCATCCATCATTGTGAGGCCATTTGGATAAAGGCAGTGCTACCATTGGATAATGTCCAACCTAGGTCATGTGGGGGGAAATCTTATCTGCCATCACAAAGGAAGACTTTCAAGAGTGAAGACTTGGGTATTGTTTTGGTAGGAATGTTAAAGGTTAGTAATTTAGCTTGTACGTACATATGCAGGCAAGTGAGATCATTTAGTTCTAAAAGTGAACAATGCAGGTAGGGGTGGTGTGATAGAGGGCATATTGACCTGAAGGTTCTAGTTGTTCATAGAGGAGGGAAAGACAACTAATCATAGTAGCTGTTTTATTAATTTTGAGCTTACAAGACCAAAAATAAGTGATGGGTAGGGTTTTGAATTTTTTTTTTTAGGGTACTCAACCCATTGCGTGTATGTCTGGATACGCACTTTCTTTATTAAGTTCTTGCAATGTGCATTTGGCAATTTAAGTTGAAAACAAAGTAAAGAGAAATGGTGGTGAGTGGTTTAAAGAGCAATAAAATCTTGCTTCAGTTGTTAATCTTAATCAAGTAATGAGGATGGAATTGAGGCAACTTATTGCAATGTGATATCTTATCCATGTTTTATATATTAAGTTAAGGGACTTGTTTGAAAAATTATACAGAAAGGAAAAGCTACAATAGTTAATTCTATTGCTCTTAAATTTCAACTTTTGGGGAGATTTGAACGCAGGTTAGCAGAGAAATTATGAGTGATAATTTCATTTCTTTCTATATCTCTCGTCACTTTGCTATCCAAACTATGGATTAATATCTGCTATATACTTTTCAGCTACCCACTACTTTTAAACCAAATGAACAGAAATAGCTCAAGATTCATTTTATTGGAATATTAGCTTTCGTTATCTAATCATGGTTCTATCTCAACTCTACAGATATGTCCATCTTCTGGAAGATTGCAATTGGTTGACATGACTGGTAGCATTGATGCTATTATACCAGACCTTCCATCAAATTGGAATCCTAATAGCATATTTGAGGTCGTATCTGTTGATTATATTTTGGCATGCTCTTTATCATCTTGTCTTGAGCTGTATGGTAATGTATAAGAGGAATTTATGCATGACATATTCCAAAGTCATCACTATAGTGCTATTTTTTGTTCGATTTTCAGGTAATTGATTACAGTCTAACTGTGGAAGGAATGCCTGAATCAGTCAATTCGGAGTTTCATAGTAATGACTTATTCTCATGCAGAAGTATCTTCCAGTGCTTCCCATCAGCAAGAAAAAGAAACTTAAAAATATTTGTCTACTTTCACCTGTGTAATGCAACATGCAGAAATCTTCTCATTTATGCAGCAGTAGACTGCCAGAACGAATTGAATGAAATTGAAAATGGAACATTCCATCTTATCCACATAACCCGCAAATTTCCTTTGTTGCAGAAGGTAGGCATCTTCATATGTTTTCCTAATTGGTTGTAGAAGCTGCTTCAGGTAATATTTTCTTTTGTTAACTACATTTAAACTTAGAAGGAATAACAAAGACCTCGGAGTTGGTGTTCATGCATCTTAATCATAAATGTTGTGGCATCACATAGTTAATTAATTCACTTATATATTTGTTTTCACAGTTTAAAGGTCATTCAATATTATCAAAGAGGTCTGGTGTGTTTGCTGAGGCTATAGTCTTACCATGGTATTTGTTACTTGCTGGAAAAGATGGAAGTGTGCGTCCATATAAGGATTCCAGAGATTATGCTGATGGTAACTACATAGATCATGCTCTTAGTAAGAGGCGCAAGACCGATGGTGCATCTACTTGTGTGACTCCAGGTCTCGGGGACAATTTTGGAAGTGCTAGCTTTGGAAAAAACACTTCTTTAAGGGAAACCTCTGTAGATCAGAGTTGTCTGAGAATGAGTTTTTCTCATGAAATTCCATGCTTGGCTACCATACGAGGTGTTAATAATATTATCTTTACTAGGTCAGGGAGATTGTGTACTACAAAGGCCAATGCAAAGATTAAAATTTATGAAGAAAGTGCAGAGAAAAACTTGCTGGAGTTCACATCTGAGAGTGATTTGAAGTATCAGGTATTTCTAGATTCATACTCTTCCCCTTATTCTATTAAACACATAATACATAAATGATGAATAATTTGTGTAGGGATTTTTCTTATAGAAAAAGATAACTTTTTTTCATTTTCATTAATTTCAGTTGTTGCAGATTGGTGGTTTTTACTTAATGAAGCACCATTTGAAAGATCCTCTCTGTAATATTAAGAAGGATGATAAAGTTCTTATAACATCTGGAACATATTTTCGAAGCCTTTCATTGTCTCCTGAGTTTCTTACCACTGATAAATCATTGCATGATTCTTCCCTATGTGATGATGAAGTCTTTACAAAAGATCAAGTATTGAGGGTTGCTAGTGATTCTTCAGTTTCAGATGTTCATCTTCATGTCTCTTCAAGTTTAACAGGTTTTCGGGAAATAAATACAAAGGAACTGGGAAAAGGCCTTAATGTGCCGGGTGCAAACCTAGGGGAGAACTCTAGTCTTTCTCCGGGCATTGAGACCATAATTGTTGCAAACCTCGAGGAGAACTCTGGTTCTCTTGGTTATAATTGCCTTTTTCCTGAGGGAAATTTGACCTCTCTGTGTGGAGATGTAATAGCTGTCCACAGGTTTGACCAAGGTTCTTCTGACATGCGTTCAAGCAGTGAAGACTTTGCTGATCTTCCTCACTTCGGGTTTTCTAATAGAACATACAGATTTTGCATTCATGTTTCAGTGGGCCATCAAACCGTAAATGCCTATCATACTTCCTGTTCCTCTGTCTTTTACTTCATTATCTGGAGAATTATGAGATATCTAATTGCAAAATATCATTGTTTTAGGTGAGGATTTTTGGATCTCTGTGCCAGAATCTGTTCCCTACTGGGTTTGGGCCTGGCATAAATGCAACATTTCATCAAATTCTTCAATTCCGGTATGAACTTTTTGGTGGAAGTCTATTAATTTGCTGCTTGTGCTTTCAACACCTCCATTGTTTTAGCTTCTCTGTGATGTGTCTTTCGCATGTTACTATTAGGTCAACAAATTTGGCGAGTGAAGTCCATTTGTTTCTTCTTTCCTGTTTTCTTTGGTTGTTTTTTGCCTGTTTCTTGATGTCCTAACTTGTTTGTCAATCTTTGATAATCAAACAACATACTCAACTCTTCAACAATAAAGTTAACCCTTACCATTGTTTTATTCTTTATCAATAAAAGAAATCTGCTTGAGGATAAACATGGAATTGTTTGAATGTAATGAACTGGTGTATGCTACTGAGTTATGATAAAGGCTACTACTGCCATTCTGGTTGATTTATATGCGTACATGCTCCCTGATTATGGGATTTTTATATTGAATTTGTTATAAAGGTTAGAGGGAGAAGCAATCGTTTAAGGGAGATGCACACATTGGATGCTTGAAAATAGAGTAAGTTCTGTAGGATGATAAAAAAGGGGGATTCATTCATTTTAGATGAATTTAGTTTCAAAATATGGTTAGCAGAATTGGTTGTGGGATTTGAGAATGATACTAAAGACAACATTTATGCATGCATCAACCTGGCATTATGCTAATTTATCAGTCTTGAATTAGGCTGTTTAAGGTTCTGCCATTCCTAAAACAAGATTAATGCCATCTTTAAACTTGATACTGGTTGCAAAATTCACTTTAATATGCCTTGTCCATGTTGTTGTACTATTTATCTTTTTACCGTTCATACAAGAATCTTTTCTTTATTTGACATAATTGCTGCATCTAAGTTGTTTCCTTTAACTTTGCTTGCACCTTGTACTATAGAGTGATTGAATTGTTATGTGCTGGGTTTTCAGGGGCCCGAGTACATTGATGTTAACACCTGTATCCATCATTGTGATAAATTCAATTAGGGTAGTCAATGAAGTATACGGCAAAAAGTGTTCGCATTTATGGTCTTCAGATATGCACAATGAATCCTTCACAAAAATGGCTGCATCTTCTGTTTTAATTTCTGAATTGATGCGGTGCTTGGATGGCAATCTAAATCGATTTCGCTGCAGAGTAAGTTTTAACTTTCATTTTAAAGCCATTTAAATGTCTCCTAATTGTTCCACTTATAGGTTATCAGGTTCTAAATAGGGTAAATGATACTCATTTGAAGTAATTATGATCCATCTGTTCAAGTTTGTGACAGGTAGTTTCTGTTCATGTCCTGGTTCTAGAGAAGAGGAACAGCATATGTGATGACTTAAAATCAAATATGTATTCCAGGCCTCTTAGTGTTGACATTCCACTTGCTTGCTTTATATTGGGTGAGTTACTCTCTGTTTAAGAGATTATTGATGACATATGACAGATTTGTCTATTTTAGATGCTTTCAAGGTGTATAGCCTGCACAAGTTTTGAGCGGCTATTTCTATTCATATTATTTTTTATTGTCCCAAGCATTGCTACTTCAAACTTTCCTAGCTTAAGCTTTGTGGTTAGAGGTTCCAAAGAATCCCGGTGGTAAGAGAAGCATGTCTGATGTGTTCACTCTTTTCTTTCTCTAAGAGTTTAGGGTTATCTTTCTTGTGGCTCTCTCATGTGCATTTCAGGTTTTATCTATTAAATTTCATTATTTCGTCTTTGTTTCAAAGTATGTTAAACAAGAATAGATAAGGGGTGCATGGGTTAAGCTAGTTGTGTGGTGAAAGCATCTTTATTCATGCAAAACTGCTTATTGGATGACTTTTCTCCTGGGCTACCTTCTCTTCTCCTTAACTTCCCAATAATACGAAAAGAATATTTTATTTCTATATCAGCAGCTGTAATCAATGGTTGGTAGCACAACAAGATAATTGTTGTTTGGTTTCCTATTTACTTAATTTTGTGATAATCCATCAATGGGTGGATTGCCAGCTTCCTGAGTTTCTTTGGTTTTATTTTGGCCTCCTCTATAAGTTAACAACTTTACTAATATTCTTCCTGCTTGAATATATAGATGATGGATCATCCTCTTGGTGTTGCTGGGCCAATGCTGAAAGAGCAGCAACCCTGCTGAGGCTGCATGAATACCCACTGTCTACCTTTGAAGCCAGCGGCTATGGAGGGAGGTGGGTCAGGATACAGAACACTGAATGGACCTCCACCATGTATCATCTTGAAAGAATTTTAGAGAAGCATCACAGGATTACTGTCAAAAGCACTAGGTCAATTTCAGATTCTTTTGATCAAGATTTCACTGTTTCTGTTAGTTCAGGAAAGGCACTTAGTGGCTTGGATGAGGACCTCTACCTTCTCATATCCTTAATCTTCAATGCTTGCATCAATACATCCTGGGTGAGTTTAGTGGCATAGTATAATAGATTTACATAGGTGAAATGTGTTGGGTAGACATGTTCCTCGATTCTCTAGTTTATGTTGAAATGCTTGATTGAATAAGGTATTTCTCCTTTGACAGACTGTTGTAGCTGGAGTGATGGATTCGAATGCAGTCAACTTATTAAAAGAGCACTTTCTTGAACTGGAGATGTCAATGCCTCCCATGAAAAACTTATGGGCCACAGAAGTTTATCATGTTAATCAACTGACTGAGGCCAGAGATATGATCCAAAAACTTATAAACAAGTAACTCTCCATGTGAGTACTATTTTTTGTTCAATGTAATATAAATTCCTTGTCACCTTAAGGTACATGGATAAATTATGTAAATGTTGTACTAGATATGGTGGCTATGCCGGTAGCGGCATCAGCTTTTTGTTGTATATAATGTGGAAAGTCTACAAGATATCTGTTCATATTGCTTTAGATTCATGGTAAAACATCCTTGAATCAGTGTCTAAGCACTAGATTCTTTGATGTCCAAAAATATGATATTTTGCATTTTATAATTTCAATTTGGGTATGTGGTCGTCAATATTCATTTTGTTATTATAATGTCTAGAAATCTTTGTTCATTTAATGAACTCCCAGTGTTTTTAAAGGCAATCCTATCAAGTTTTGCGTTTACTTTCTTGGCTGTCATATTGCTATTTAGGTAGTCTTATGGGCTTTAAAAGATTTTGATTACTCTGATGCTGTGGTAAACCATTGTAAAGCTCGAAAACTGGTGATCCTTACATCATGCTGAAATTGCAAATTCACCTTGTTATTGATCGAAGGTGAATTTATGATGCACAACAACACAAAGAATCTTGTTTAATAAATAAACCTGGAGGTGCATTGTGCTTGTGCATGTGCTTCTTACCATGTCACTGATGATTTGAGTTAGTTATCGAAAATGATTTTGCAGTTCTAAGGAATTTAGCTGACATCATATGACTTTAACTATTGAATGTCCCTCAAAAGTTTTGCCAAACTTTTCTGTAATGTTGAATTGCATTCTGAGGAATCTAATGGAGTTGAAACCTTGAACTTTGGAATTCAATGACAGCTTCCTCTGCTGCCAGTGAACTATGAAAGCAGATGCCACTGGTGTTTTATTGGGTTATCAGTGGTCGTCTGTCGTACCAAAAGCAGGAAATCTGAGTAAAATACCGTCGAGACTAACCAGCGGAATATTTGTTTGAGCCATTGAAAAAATTTTGCAGGCTGAACATTTTCTAAAAAGAATTAATAAAAATGGTAAGTAATTTGGCAAATAGCTGGCAATTTGATTGGTTATTATTGCAAAATAATGCCCTGGGCATTTAGTATCAAATGTGGTTGGTCAAATGTTTTATGAAAGAGTTAAGGTTATAAATATGGGCAGTTGTTATTATGAGATCTTTGACCCCAAATATTACTTTTTCTTAACAGAGCTCAACTACCATACCTGTGAGAATGAGGTCCCCCCCTTAAGATCTGCAAAAAGCCTTTAAGAACATATGTACGGAGTCTATTCGGATTGGTCGCAGTTTCTATAGAACTTGGTGTTTGGTTTTAGCTTAATGAAAATCTGTAATCAGACAACAAAAGCTTCATGTTAACATTACATCGTAGTTTGCTGAGCAGAATTTTAGCCACTTTGAAGACAAAACTGGTGAAAACCCATCTTCTAATGGTTGAAGCATCTACAGTATACCCAGTTATTTCTTTGGCTTTTTACAGATTTCTGACTAGGTGTTAGCCTGCACTTCCCACCCTTTTTCAGATGTTGGAAAGTAGGCCGAGGATTAATATTAACCCGATATGCAATTTCCAATGCCACTCTTGCATAAGATTAATGGTTCTATCAAAACTATAGTGTGTCCTTATTTGAGCCTTTGGTCTGGAGATGGTACAATTTCATTTACGCTGTTCTTAAATTTCCCTTGCTTGTTAAAAAGAGCGTTAACATGGAGGCCAGAGGAGAGGGAAAAGGGAGAAGGATTGAGTTTGCAGAGAAAGAGAGAGGGGATGCCAATCAGTGGTAACTGGTAACCATTGGTTGGCTAAAAAAGGAAGGGAGATTTGGCAGAAGTGTCCACGCGCTTTGCTTAGTGAGTGAGAGTCAGTACAAGGATTTGGAGTTTCTGAATTGCACAGTAAAGTATTTGTTTAAGGTTAAAAGTACCGCAAAAGCTCGTCGACGTTTTTGAAAAGTGCTTCTCCAGTATAGGTTTTGGACTTTTACCTTCCCACAGATTCCCACTAGCTTTTCTGCTTACTTTTTGCACTTGCCTCTCGTCCTTTTACTGTTCCTCGGGTTCTCCAAGTTACCCCACATCTTTCCCGTTTGTCACCATTAGTAACCTAATCTATGATGTTTCATCCAGTCATTTTTATTTTAATCCCTCTCTCTCTCGGGTTAAAATTAATATTTGAGAAAGTTCATGATATTTAAGCTTTTTAAGTACCCAGATACAAATGTTTTTGTACGTTCTCTTCATGGTGAATCTCTCTCTCTCGTCACCCTAGATGGACTCCCAGACATCGTTCCATTGGGCACTTTTTTCTCCCTTGTGCATTGCAGACACTAAAAATGTGTAAGGTCTTGTTTCTCTTCAAGAGCTGAACCTCCACTTTGAAGATTTTCCACCGCACATCTGCCCCCCAAACCAAAAGAAAAAAAAAGAGTTGTAATGCTCTTTCGTTATTCTCAATCAGAACTCTCATCCTCATCCTTTCTAGACCCTGTCTAGTTTCCTCTTTGCTAAAGAGCACACTGCACTTGGCAACGTTTGAACCTTTACAACCATTTGAAGACTTGAGCAGAAAACAAAGTTGGCAGTCCTCTTCTGGGTCAGTGCTAAAATGTCAATGCCATTAGTCCAGCAACCACCGCCGGTGACTGTAGCACAGCAGCCATACAACTCTCACACCCGCCATGCTTCGATTGGTCCTGTTATAGCTGTACTTCTGGTTATCATAATCTTAGGCATACTTGCAGGCATGATCGGACGGCTGTGCACAGGGAGGAAAATCACGGGCTACGGTCAGTTTGACATTGAAAGTTGGATAGAAACAAAATGCTCTGCTTGCATTGATGGTAGGATATATCCTCCCCCACCAAGGGCTAATGCTTCTGTTAGCTCTGTTCCAGCATCAATTCAACGCCAATCACAGCAAGAAGATCAATCTCCTCAAACCCCCACCGCCTAACATTGATTCTTAACGCCGGTTCTTGCATATGACAGCATTTTGTTGCTGCTAAATATTTTATTTGGATTTTTATTTTTATTTTTTGCTAGATAGCTGTCCACTTTGTTAGTTCATTGTTGCTAGTTTAGTATGAGCAGCAACCTCCGTTTGAGAAGATTCTGTCGCGGGTCGGGAAGTTGCTAAACTTTGAAATATGTTTTCTTGAATTATTATTAGTATTAAAAATTGCCACTCTTATTTGAGGATTACTCAGTCACTTGACTATTCCCAATTAAGGAAGATGCCAACGCCCCATGTTGAAGAAATCACTCTAAATTCAACACTTCAACCTGAATCATCAATCCGCATTGATAAAATGGTATCGTTAAAGCGAGTTTCTAATCACTAACATGTATTGAAAAGCGAATTTTGCTGCCTTGCTAGACATTCAAAACATCCTTTTGTTAGGTGAGTATTAAACGTATTGGGTTCTGCAATCGAGAGGGTACATTTAAAATTGGAGGCCCTTACAGGAATTGCAACAAGAAGAAACAATTAATCGTTACAAAGGCTGTCATTCGTGCACCGTTAGGCCTGTCAGTCAAATTATTTCTTACATTTATCATTCTCCATCTAAACTTTTTTTTTCCCTAGGTTGAGAAGTACTTAAGAGCTAACCAAAAGGATCGAACACCCTGATGGTGGTGACCAGATTTTTGGGCTTTTTTTGGTTGTCTTTAAGGAGGAGAAAGGCGGATTAAGCCATTAACATAAGGTTTGCTTCATTTGCATCCCCAATTCTTTGCATTTGTTTCCTGCTCCGCAATCAAATAGTCAATCAACCCACATGCACATTATAAACATTCACTGTATGTTCTTCGACTTATCAAGAAAGAAAGATTGAAGAGTGGAGTGGTGAATGTAAAAACTAGTAGTTTCAAAAGGATGTGACTGATGATAGAAGCTTAATTGAGCGAAATATCTCCACCAGAAAGAGGAACACCCCCATAGGACACAGGCGGCAAACATGGCCCGCCAGCTGCGGTGAAAGAGGGACCTTTTCACCACAAATTTTTGCTTGCACTTCAGCAAAACAAGTGCCAAATCAAACCATACTGCACAACTTCATGTGCTCATTCCTACATCTTCTCAAATGTTGGTACAACATCGTAGGTTGGAGCTACAAATTTGGTAAAGGTGATTTTAATGAATGAGTGCAAATATGCAAACCCTGACAGACATTGATTATAAACATATTCAAACTCGTATCAATTTGCTTTATTCATAAAGACAGTTGTCAGCAATGTCCCAAAATATCATGGATAACAGTAATTAAGCTGTCAACTGTAATTCTTCATCTTAAGGACCCATTACAACCCACTTTACAGCAACTCTACTGCCCCTAATTTACTACAGTTCCATATTAAGGCACTGCAAGCACCTCTTACCCGTCTTCATTGAACTTAAAATGGTAAAAATTTCATTCATGAGAAGACGAGCAAGAGCTACCACCACATGTTGGATACTTTATCTTGAGAAGATGAGAGAGACCTGCCACCACGTGCAGCCGACTGCTTGGAATACCTGTCTTTGCAAGTGCGCCCCCATTTTTGTCCAACAACACAAAGCAAGGAACATATTTGATGTCGTAATGGAGAAACTACATGAAAATGAATATAACTAAAACAACCAGAAGTTATACCAAATTACTTGTAACTGAGGTTCAAGAGGAATCAGTTCTCTTGCATAGGCAGAACATGCTTAAAATGATAGAAAATCATCAATTACGGTTCTCCCAAGTCTTAACTCAATGCCAGACATAAATACTAAGGTTGTTTTACATGTCAAGCTAACATATAGTAGGGAAGCAAAAGAAGATATAATCATATTCCACCATATATAATTTTAAGATATAATCGTATTAGGGAAGAAGAAAAAGTGCGATAACAAGAAGTTATGCAAAGAGGAGCTTTCTGAACTTGCTACATGTTATAATTTACCAACTAGAACTTGAACCATGTTGTTAAACGAACATCCTCAGTAACTGGAATAGCAAACTAATACATATTCCATGAATCTCAAATACTGCAATGCCACATGCAGCTTTCTCTAGTTTCTTCCATCATACTGACAAAGAACCACTGTAACAAAATTCAACTACCCATCCCTACAGGCACTTTCAGATGTCCTAGGGATACTGAATATCAAACTTTACTTAAGAGGTATGTATAGATCTAAATAAAGCCATATAAAAATGGGGAAAAGAACCCTAAGCCTTAACTAAAACTACTAAAAAAGTTGTGCAATGCTGTCACGAAATCCTAATGTTGAAGCTTCTGTGTTCATTACTACAAAGTCTTTAACAGACTTGGAAATGAAAGAGATTGGCATATGGAAAGGAAAGACCTGCTAACACCAACCATAAATGTCTAAATTTCTGGCATAAAGTACAGGATGTCTTATAAGGTGTAGATCTAATAAGTGATTCATCCCTTGTCAATACTAATTGATTACAACATATTGCAATATCCATAATCCAAGTGGATGCCCTTCAGAATATATAACGCAAGACATCCCAAAATACATTTTAAAATGTAAAAATAAAAGATTCAAACCAGAATCTTCATTTTCCATTTTGTTTACTTTGATGCCAGTGGAAACAAAAACTAACAGATTTAATAAAGAGGACATTTAACAAGTGGTGGCAGAACAACTTCAATCAGGTAAAGCAGTAGTATTTCATATTTCAAACTCTAACTGTCTAACATAAAATCAAAATCAGGAGATAAGTACCTCAGGCAGCCATTTCTCATTCTCAGCATCAGCCAAGACAATGTTGAGCCAATCTGAATTCCTATTTTCCACTCCCATGACAAATTTAAGTAAGGAATTACATAAACTACATTTAGGGGAGTAAAACTCAATCACTGTGGCCTCCTTCCCACTCGCTAGGGCTGATGCAAAAGCTCTACTCTCTGCTTCTCCTTGTTCTTCAGGACTCAATGTTTTTCCTTTTAACTTCAAGTTGCTATTTTGAGTGGTTCTAGCAGCCAATTGGACAGGATTATAATTATTGACCCATGAACCAGAAGATTTCAAAACCAAATTGTAGGTTTTTAGAACAAGGGACCCAAGATTTTGCATTGACTTCAATAACCAAGGACCTTCAAAGGTAAACAGGTTAGGACTTTTAGGCTGTTTGTTTATCCTTTTTGCCACACGATGTTAGAACCCAAATTTTGTTTAGGAACAGAACTCATCTTCTCCTCTAACTATATTATCTTTTTACATGAAATAAGATAACCTCCAAACTGGGTTTTTTTAATCCTTTTTGCCACACAATGGTAGAACCCAAGATTCAGAACTAAGTACACACTGCATTTGAAAAAAAAAAAAAAACTTTTTAGAGCTCATGTTCTAGACTTCTAGTTGCTATTACAATTAAAAGAATCAGAAAAATGAACCATACTTGTTTAACTCAATAGGAGAAAAGAAAAAAAAAAAAAAAACCAAGGGAAGCAATATCGGATGGTAATCGAGACCACTTACATCAGAACACTTCAGTTCGAAACTGAACTGAACTCCTTAAGAACGAAGATACCGTTAGTGGGATGGTGACAACGTAAACCGACAAGATTTCATCAAATTTTCCATGTTCATTTTTCCTTGGGTCGGGCTGCCTCATTGAATTCCATGGATTTATCTACACTGGTCCTTCGGTCTATGCTAAGGGATTTTTTGGTTTTGGGCCTTGAAGAATTGCCCATCTAATCCGACCCTGTAAGCCCAAATAAAAACCTTTCACATTAACCCGAACAAATCTTTAAATCAACCTTGAAATTGAAATAAAAATCAGGTCCACCACATTGACATTGTTTGTTCTTGACTTATTCTTTTTTAAGTTAACGGACTTCAGTTAACCTCCTAACTCCTCCAAGTAAACGAGTTAGGAGGATTGACGCCGTCGGTTGACCGGGTTTCAGTTGTATTTGGATGACCTTAACGGTTCCCTAATCATATCCCAACCCTTATGTTCCATCTCAAAATGGACATCCACCCAATTTTCTACTGACCAAATGTTGCTCTTCAACCCTTTTAAGTGCAAGTAAACCCTCCTCTTTTGCTTTGAATTTTCAAAATAGGATTTTCATCATAGCATTGGATGGTTTCAGGTTTGAAATGAGGGTAAATTAACAAATGAGAAAGGAATTAAAACTAGTTCAATGAAGTTCCCCAAGTTTGAAAGGGTTATATTCTCTTTTCAGAGATAGAAAAAAATGTGATCCTAGTGGAGGATCCAGTTGGAGAATAATGCCATGTCTCTCCTATATAAACCCCAACTGGTACTTCCGTTGTCACCAGCATCTTATCATTCCAATTCCCAGGCCAGATTCTTCAGTTCCATCCACTAGTGAAACTTGAGATATGGCTTCTTCTGGCTTCAGTGCTCAACAAATCATCCTCTTGGTAGCTGTAGCTGCCTCTCTTTTGGCAGTCATTCAGGCTGAAACCATTGTCGTTGGAGGCACTGAAAACTGGCGCTATGGTTACAACTACACAGAGTGGGCGGCCAACACCGCACCATTTTACTTTCAGGACACCTTAGGTTCATACCAATCAAACCATATTAAGTTCATGAATACATTATTTTTCCCCTTTTTGGTTCCAATATTTTCTACGTTACTGATGTTTATTTTTTACCATTTTTTTTGGTATAATTTTTCAGTGTTCAAATATGAGGATACCCCAGCTCATAGCGTTTACTTGCTGCCAAACTTGCGGAGTTACTTGACCTGCAATTTCAGTGACGCAAAGCTTTTGGCTAATCCAACTCAAGGGCAAGGTGATGGGTTCAGCTTTGTGCTAAACCAATGGAGGGTTCTCTACTTTGCTTCAGCCGAAGGTAATGACTGCGAAGATGGGCTGATGAAGCTGATTGTTGTGCCTTGGCCACGTAATTAAAATCCTTGATGCAAAAACAAGCACAAGGCGCAATGCTCTGATCACTGTGCTGATCAGATCAGGGTACTGCTCGGTTTGAAGGTACTCAATCGTCTGGGAGAGGACTTTCAATTATGATTGAATAAATATAATAAAGGGTCATCAGTTGATCATCAGTAATAAAATTGTTCAATGGTACTTACTATACGTTTTGTTTTATTTTTCCTTTTGATGTGTATAGTTATAGGAAAAAAGTGGTGAATTGGTGATTAAATTACCAATGATTAGCTATCAATTTCAATAAGACATTCAGATTGATGAAATTTAATTACCTGAGACAAGACAGATAGATTCATAAATATTAAAATTTCCTGATACCTTATCAATCAAAACATTCTTGTAATGGGACTATTGGAGTGGTTCTAACTTTAAATAAGATACCAAAATTGCAACGTTTTCACACACAATATGTAACTCCCATTAAGCAAAGAGCTTGATTCCCTTGACATTAAGGTTACTCTCGTTCATGCATCTTTAAAAATTGATTATTGGTTGTATATCAGTGTTGCAATAATATAATTGGACCGCTCAAAGCCTGAAATCAAACAGCATTGAAAGCAAAAAAAATCTTGCTTTTTTGCCAAAGGGAAAGGACCTTAGGACATTTAAAACATGCATGCCTTGATCAAATAATATAAAACCCAAATGTGCTGATGTAAAGTGGGACAGAGGCACAGATCTTTGATTGAATCTGCTTTCAGGCTCCAGCCAAATAGAAACAGAGTGCGCCCCTCTCTTCAATGCTTGCTTTTTCCACCCTTCCAATCAAAGAAACCCTCCCCCATTTTCCCATCAGGCCAAGGTCCACATTCTTTGACCTTAAGTGGGCTAAGACGCCCCAGATTTTAACGTGCAGATAAGATGAAAAATGTCCAGTTAGCATGTTTTGGAACTTTTTCTAAGTTGCATTCCAAAGTAAATTTGATTAATCACGATTCTTCCCAGTGAGCCACTAAGTCTAAAGGCATGCAAAGAGTTCACCGAACCTGAAAAATGAATGCTTGAGACAGTAAAAATTTCCATATCCAAAGTTCAGTGTGAGGATCAGTGGAGACTGCTGTTCATTTCCTTTTCTTTGCGGGGAAAGTAGTACTTTTGGTCTACAGCTATATCCAATTTGATGCAGTAGGAAGCAGGAACCAAAGCCAAATACAATAAATATTGTTTTTGGTTGAAGCGCATTAACGAGTTTTGTTCACGTGGAAAACAACCAGCTGCTTGCTATTTTCAAATGTTCCTCCAAATTGTACTTTGAGACAAAACATAAGTTGGAGAGGTTTTGTACTTTGAGCAAAAACAACAGTACTGGTTTGTCTTTCCAATTGCTCAACAAACAAGTGTACAAATTCCAAAATTATTTCTATTTATCTATATCCCTTAATTATAATCCAAGGAATAAAACAAATTGGATATTAAGGGATTTACATACATTTGTCCAATAAATCATTTCAATCCTTATCATTGCATTACTCAAACATTGATACAATTATCTAAATCTTTTTCAAGATGTTCAATTTTTTAGTATGTTTTTTAAGCATTGCATTTATTGCTTGTAGATGCTATCTTGTCTAGAGGATCCAAAACTTTAATACAGTATTTGTAAAAAAAAAAAAAAAAGATTGACAGAAATATTAATTTCTTTTTCCATCATTTAGTAAGAGAAAAACAAAAAATTATGAATTTACACATTTTTTTCCTTCAAATTCGGTTTTTTCAAATATGGAAGAAAAACACTAATTTCTTTTAAATTTATAATTTTACCTTTAATATTATTTTCCTTTATTTTTCAACGTTCTAACCAAACATAATAAAAAAATATTTTTCATTCCTATTTTTGTTCTTTTCTCACATTTTTCTATTTTCTTAGAGTAAAGTAAAGGCGGAATAACAAGTAAAATTCTATTTTCTCTTGGCAAATATAAAAAGATTTAAGAAAATAATATTTTATCAGAATATGATGGAAAAAAAAATTCGGTATGTGGGCATGACTCATGAGACTTTAACATTGTCTGAAGTTGCTAGTTTATGTATTTGTCCTCAGTTAGTAGCATGGCCTGGCCTCCCACTATAAGCACAATCCCCCATGAGAACTCTCCATAGAATATATACTATTATACATAGTTTTCTCCCAATTTTTCAGAAACATAGGGAGTAAAATATAAAGTAATGGCTAATTTTTTTGTTTTTTTTCCTACTGGTGACAGGCTGTATATTTTGCAAAGTTATTTTGGTTTAATCCATGAAAGCTTGCATCTATTCAAGGTTTTTTTTCTCTTTAAAGGAAACAAAAGAAAGGAGAGAAACACAGATCACCATATTAACAAGAGAAATGAAAACCCAAAAACCCTTCCAAAACTAGACATAAAAAAGAAAAAACACAAACCAGCTTGGCTTAGTCATTATAGACATAAAAAAGAAAAAACACAAACCAGCTTGGCTTAGTCATTATATATATATTTTTGTCCTAATGAAACCCTGATGTCTCAGCCAATAACGTTGAGCTCATATATTCTCTAACTTCTCTGGCTATCACATCTCTCATCACATCCCAGAACTCCGCCGGCACTCTCTCCTCTCTGCTCCTGCTCCTCTCCGCCACCACCGCACTTCCACTACCAGGCGGTGCTAGAGTCAACGCCGTCAAGGCTTCCTCATCCATCATCATCCCCACAGATCCCAATGCACTATCACCACCACCCATTTGCTGATGATGACTCTGTATGATCTGTTCCTGTTGATGTAGCAGCAGCTGTTGTTGTTGTTGTTGATGATGATGATGTTGCCCTTCTCTTGCCCTCCTCTTCAACGTCGAGTTCCAATGATTCTTCACAGAATTATCAGTCCTTCCCGGAAGCAATCTAGCAATGGTGGCCCACCTGTTACCATACCTAGCATGAGCAGCCAAGATAGTCTCATCCTCAGCTTGAGAAAATGGACGGTGCTCAACATTGGGGCTGAGCTGGTTACACCATCTAAGCCTGCAAGATTTCCCTGATCGACCCTTTATATAACGGCTTATCAAAGACCAATTTCTAGGTCCATATCTTTCAACAAGTCGAGTCAAAATCCTATCTTCTTCCGCACTCCAAGGACCTTTGATCTTCTCAACTTTGTTGGAAGCCCCCCTCGCAGAGAAAGATGTCTCTGAAGAAGATGCATCGGATGATGACGTAGAAGATGAACACCCATTCATTGCTTCCATCTTTAATTACACTCAGGAGAGATCTAATTTGATTGAAGAGTGTATAAAGCTAAGAACAAGGCGAAGTGAAAGGGTGGGGGAGTGGTTTATATATGGAGAAGGAAAGGTGCATGAACATGGTAGGCGCTTAGCAATTTGAGAAATGGGGTTCTTCCAGGAAACTGGCTTTTTGTAAAGTTGGTGTTGGGTCTAAGTAAAGACTAGAAAGAGAAGGGTTTGTATACATGCGGACCCCTTGGTTTTTTCACTACTATTACTATATTTTTTGATTGATTATTTTATTGGTAAGAGATATCTTGTCATTCTGTTTTTGTCTTGACTAGCCAATTTACCATTTTGGGTCCAACTGTCAATTCAATTTGAGATTTTAGAAGAAATAAACCCTTATCTTAGTACCCTCTTTCCTTGAAAGTTTTGTACAAAGAAAAAAAGCTCTACTTGTTCATATATTTGCCTCATTGTAACAAAGAGTTTAGTTTTACAGATTTATTTTGTGAAAATTTTCATGAAATTTTGATATGACTTAATTATAGATATAAAATTTTAATTCATAATAAATAGATAAATTTTGTTTTAAATGTTTTTATAGATAAATTTATTTTTTTATTTTTATTTTATAAATACGATTAATTCACATCAAGATTCTATAATAATTTTTATGAAATCAAATTCAGATAGCAAAAGTTTTTGAATCATTAGTTTTAAGGATTTATGATTTATGATTAATCATCCATTTTGCTTAAATCATTTTGATAAACATTTATGATTTTTGCATATTTTAATTAATTGAAGTAATATTTTGTTGAATTTAATAGAATGAAGCTAACAAATGTCTTTGTAGAAATAGTCACATATAAATCGACATTATTAAAAATGTTTTTTTTTAAGATGTCAATTGGCATTCACTTTGTTAAATTGTACCCTTTCTACAACAATTTAGGGGATTTTATGCTATAGAACAATTATTTTATTGTAAGAATCACATAGTCATGGATAAGGGCTTTAAAAACAAGAGTATCCATTTTTTAAATAGATTAAACAAGGAGTATATTAATTTAAATTATTGGAGAAATATTCAAGAAAATAAGTAAAAAAAAATAATCGTTTAATAATTTTAAATTCTAGTATATATAATTTTTTATTTTTAATTGAATTTTTTATAAAATAAAAAATTGTTTGCTAAAAAAAGGGTAGAATTGGAATTCAAGGGAGACAAATGGATGAGAAGAAGGAAAAGAAAAATAATAGAATCATTCTCGTACTCGCAGAGGCACAATACTTAGCGGGAGCGTTTAAAACATGACAGGAAAGGCAGAGCTGTTTAACACATAACAAACGTTTTAAAACGGAAGTGGGGCCCTTTAACTTTTTTGACTACTTTCGCTTGCACCAGATTTACAGCTGTAAGTCCAAAATCATAGCCCTTTAAGTCACTTAAATCAACGGCTCCCAATCAACTGTCGCAAAAAATTAAAAAACAAAAGAGAAAAGCCCCCACTTAAAATAAGCAGTTTGAAGATGACTTCAACGCCCTCCACATAGGATGGGCCCACTACCAGCCTGTAAGAATCTCACGTGATTCAAGTTGAATCCCTTTGACTTTGTGGTTTTATCCAACCCAAAAAAAAAAAAGAAAAATCCCTCTTTCACTCCACTCCTCCCTAGGGAGCGTGTGTCTCACTTTCCTCATTATCATTACCTTCGTATTTAACTTTTCACTTGGCTTGTTTTTAAGGAGCGGATTATTAATCATTCCTTTTTTCAAATTTTGTGGCATTAAGTGTCCATATATTTATTTCAATTTTTGTCCTTTTGAGAGCGGATAATAAATCATTTTGTTCCAAAATTTATCCTTTAGTAAGAATGACATTCAAAAGGAGATATAAGTAAATTTTATTTTAACTAACAAATAATTTTTAAACATTAAATAAGAGATTAATTTATTATAAAGTGATTTTTTTTTAAAAATATCTTTATCATTCGACACATATAAATTAATTTTATTATATTTATATCGAGATCATAGTTTAAATATTATATAAATATATCTATTTCATATAAGATTATAACATGATTCATCTTAAATTACTAAGAGTTAAATGATGTTGATAATCATTGAATTAATTTATTGATATTATTAATAAGTAAATTTACTTATTCAAAAATTACATTTTAGATAGATAGAACTAATGCTAAAGTATGAGGATCATTATGTATATCAATGGTTTGATTTAGAGGTTACTTATTATGGAACGTCAATCATGGATTTAGTTATCATTATTTTGCAAATAAATTAACTTAATTAATTGTTTGATGGTACTATTTCAAAATTTTATTTACAAAATAGTTTGAAATCTTCGAAGATTATGATGCACGCGCTAGAGAAAAAGACAAGTGAATTGGAGTCCAGCAATGTGAACGAGGATCGAATCATGATTGCATCGTAACCGCCCACGTGTCATCAGTGCTTGGATTTTATGGTGGATCCGTGATTGTAAGTTCAGCATGACAAGAAGCAGTTGGGCAGTTGATATTCCAGCTGGCACCAAAACCCTAACCTCACCGACTTATGTTTCTAAATTTTTTTTCAACCGCTAATCGAAAAAGAAAAAGAAAAAAGGGGACAATCCCACGAATGATTTTAATTTATAATAAATATTAAATAATTTTTAAAAATTTTATATAATATTTAAATTTAAATTTTTAATTAATATGATACTTTAAAATTATATTATATCATTATTAAGAGCATTAATGATAAAAGTAAGTATAATATTAATTAATAAATTTATAATTTATATATTATTAACAAATTTTTTAAATTTAAATATTACATTAAATATTTTATTATAATTAAAAAATAATCGTGATATTAATCCATGTGCAAACACTTCTTCTACTCATGATTGTATCTGTGGGATCTGAATTTGAACCATATTCTCAAATGGAAAAATATAGGTTATAATAACAAAAATGTTTTTAAATTTTATTACTTTATTTAGATAATTTTTTACATTTTTATTATATCTAAATAATTATTTTATTTTATTTTGTATATATATAAGCTTTTAAATTTTAATTTATATTTAAATAAATCTTTAAATTTTAATTTATGTTTAAACAAAATCTTAACATAAATTAATTTTTTATTTGAAATAAACTCTTAATTTTATTTTGTATTTAAATAAATACTTAAAATTTAATTTATATTCAAATAAATTTTAGTATAAATTAATTTTTTGTTTGAAATAAAATTTTATTTCCATATTAATTAAATAATAAAAAATTTAAAATTTATTTAAATAAAATGATAAGGTTGCAAGCTTTTTAATTTTTAGTATTTTAGTCAAAGTATAGATATTTATTGTTGTGATCAAACAGATCCTGAGCCACTTGATTCGTAGCAATCAAGGTGGGGCCATCGTTGTCTCATTCCAACCCATTTGCCGGTCGGTTTTGGTCCTTTTGGAGTTTGGAGGGTTTCGGTTTAGCCCAACACCGCGTGAGAATAGGTGGTTTGTCCTCTTTGTTTTGGTCAACCCATTGGTTACATGGTTGTTGATGTTCTTTTATTTTGCCTCTTGTTTCTTCGTACATTTCTTACTTGCTAGCCACTCTATTTTCATGTGATAAATTAGAAATATTGGCGTTCACATTTTAAAATCATTATGTTTGTTTGTCAGTATTTGTTAAGCTGGATGATAATTATCATAAAAGAATTCATTGATAAGAAAAGATTTAATTATTATATTTAAATTTTAACATATCATTTTTTTTTTACATATAATTAGATGAATAATTAATAATTTCAAGCTCGAACTCAATTGCAAAATAAAAGTGCTTGTTAAAAAAAATTAAAGAAGCATTACATTGCCAGATGGACAACAATACATTAGATTAAAAATATTTAAAACATTATAATTTTTAAGATTCGTATTTAAAAACTCTGATATCATATTAAATTAAGTGATTGATTATTTTCAAAAATTAGTAGAGAAACAAAATCCACCTATTATATATGAGTTCTAATAAGACCTATTAAAATTGTTTAGGGATTGCTCTTGCTACTCTTGGAGCATGAGATTCCAGCTTTTTTTTTTTTTTGGGAAAAAAATTTATTTATTCAAAAAAATTATTCAGTGCTCCTGCTTTTGTATTCAAGCTGTTTTTAGCTCCCAAGTCCCAACCCATACAAAATTGCCAAGACAAAAGAAAACACTTGTATTTAAATTCTCTAATCTCTTAATTTTTTATTATTATAATATGGTTTTTGGGTCAAGGAGATTTCAAGTCTTTATACTAATTCACATGTACTTCATTGGACCAAATATCCAAGTGCTGTCTTTTAAAGGAAGTTTTTGGCTCAAATAGATAGAAAATAGATATATAACATAATGTGAATTTGACAAAGGTTTGTTCCATACATTGCTCCCAAAGAGACGATTTTGTGGGCATGTAAAAATAGGTTTTGGACTGTTGGGGTATGGTTTCACCTCTCAGTAGTCATCTCATCTGGTTGGGCCAATAAGGCTGTCGACAGAGAAGAGAGGTGGGATTGAGTTTTATTATTATTTCTTTTATTGGCAGTGGCGCATGATTACAGGATATGGGCCATATATGGGCAAGTTTATATTTCTCGTACAGCTATCTTATTTAGTTTTCCTCCATCTGTTCAAAACTACCCTTACGGCTTACCATATTCCTCATGGTCATCCTCTAATTTTATTGGAAAATAATAATTTACTTTGAAAGCATTGTAATAGAAATTACAGATGAGAATTAAATGGAAAATTCCTGATAAGCTTGTCAAATAGGACTTTGCATAACCCGGGATTTAAACATGGATTCATATTCGATGGACTGGTTGTTTTGTTGTTGTAGTTTGTTCATTATCTGCTTGTTTTCTAGTTTTTGTTTTAGCAGGTTGTTTCTTCTCTTTCCCTGTTTCCTGCCCCTAACAAGCTGTCAGCAGATTTCTACTTTTTGGTAATGGGAATTGCATCCAACGCCCTCTTTGATTTGGATGAGTGGGAGGATTTGGCTTCATTCTATAGAGGCAAATAACTATCTAGTTAGTCCCTGTGGGCTGTGGTGTTGCTTTTGTTTTTTTTGTTTTTTTTTTTATCTTCTTAACCAGAACCAGGATTTGCAAATCAAACTGACTTCAAATGATTTACAAGGACAAAAGGTAACCAGGCAAAGCTTGAACTTAAATTAATGAAGAACAAATTGACTGGTTGCGAAAGGGATTGTCTGCATTAGATGTCAAAATAATATGAACTACGAAAAGCAAGCAGAGAGTTGTTGGTGCCTGTGGCCAGAATTTATGCTTATGAGGCCTATGAAAGTAAATGCTCGGAATTTCAGCCACCACAGAAAGTTCTATTTGGGAGTCTACGTCGAAAATACTTAAACCTGAAGACTTTGATATTTGAGGATGCTTAAGTGCTATTACATTAAACATGGAACTTTCTCTGACACCTTTTTGGCTCCCTTAGATTTTAGGGAATATTTTCTTAATTGGTTGTGTAATGCAAAAAGACAAGCACCTTTTTTCCTTTCCTCCAAAGTTTTCAGCAGAATTCGTGGCTCTATTGAATTAGACCAGGCTAGAAGTTTTGCTAAACCAGAAAATTTTCCGTCATTAAAGAATATTTCATATTCATTGTCCAGTTTGAGACAAAGATAGCCTGGTATTCTGAACAGGAGATGATATTGGCTTTCAACTGCATGAAAGTGACACAGCAGCTAAGTTAGGTTTGGAATCTAGCACAAAACTATCAGCTAGCTTGAACAATGGGACATAGAAATAGTATAGCCATGGTGAGCTGTTTCTTTCCGTCATTGAACAAGTGAAAACATTAAAGAGAATATAGTCTTTATAGTACTCATGTAAAGTTTCACGTGTAGAAATGACACAAATTTCTAATGAGCTCTTACAAAGAAAACACTTAGTTCTGGACCAGGTGCACCATCTGGATTGATCATGTATAAAGCTTCCGAGTCCTTTGATCCAACCACCTTCTCAAATCTTGCTCTCATGTACGTCAATTCCCCATCGGCTGTGACTGTTTCCTTCTCATTTGGGCTTGGAAGGACCCCTGCACCCATTGACACGCCTCGTAAAAGTTGCATAACATGAAGCTCATCGTCAGACAATTGTTTCCTCCTGATAGAGTAACCCATCTTTCTTCCATTACAGTACACTACCCAGACAAACTCCTCCAACAGTTTCTTCTTATGCGTCTTGGTTTCACTCTCTAGAGCTATTCTAACTACATCAGATGCCATTTCCTTTCGAAGTAAGCTGCTAAGCATTGGTAGCTCTATGACAAACATTGGTACGCAATGGGGATCATCTTGTATTGCTAAGCAAACTCTGCCTTTGCGATAGCCAAAAATTGTACCTGTTGTAGCACTATCCTTCAGCAAAGGCTTCCGGGGTCTACCCAATAGTGCAACCATCTTGCACCCTGAGGTTAGCATAGGAAAGAACTTGAACATACGCAAGAGACTGCCACTGCGACTGGTCTTTCGGTGCTTCTCTCCAGGAGTAGGCTGGAGCAAAGTCAGCATTGCCGGATTGTACATTTGGAAATATGGACTAGAGTGAACCGGTGGCATCATTGGACTTTGCTTAAAGTACCCAATTCAAGAAGCTAGAAGGGAGGGGGCTATTCTGCGTAGAATTACAGAGATAAAACTAAAAAGAGGTAGAAAAAGGGAGGGGGTCTGCTATAGGAAATAAAAGGAGTGAGTTAGGCGGGTGGTTAGTCACTTGGTTTTGATTGTCCTTGGAATCTTTGAGGTCGGAAAGAGAAGAGCAGAGAGCCTACAAGGTGGTTAAGAGAAGAAAAAAATGAGAATAAAGCTTGATGTGACCAAGTTTGGTAATGAAAAAGAAATGGAGTTCAATGCGACAAGATTAGGGAGGTCGGACCACAACTTGCGGGGAATGGTATGATGAAAAAAAGCTCTCAAAAAGTTGAAAAAGGACTCTGGTAATGTTGGTTTAGCATGTGCCTTCTATATATTTTTTTTTATAAACAAGTAATTTTATTTATCAAAAAATAAGAAGAAAAGTTAGTAAAAAAAAAAAATTGTTACATTATCAAACCTATCCAAGTCAATTTAACTAAAAAATAAAAAATCATACATAAAAAATAGAGTTGTTTAAGTCCCAAGAAATACAAAAATTTATATTTTTTGATTCAACATGCCTCGATTTAATATGATCAAAGACTTATATGGGGGGCTCTTCTAGGTTCTATAAAGCATGTGGTTCCTTTCTCTTCAAATATGGTAAATTGGTAAATATAGGTGCTCTCCAGAAATTCTTAATATAGTAGAAATCAAATATTTACCTTTTAGCTTTTTGATTGCTCATTTCAGCTCTTCATTTTAACGAGCAATTTCTTTATAGAGTTGAAAAAGCTGTAAAATTTTATTGTCTTTAAAAAAATCACATTCAAAGAATATATGATCTCTTAATTTTTGCTTTGAGTGACAAATCACACCATCAGTCCATCACCATTGATTTTTAGACCCCAAGAAAGTATTCTCCTTACACAGGGCATCAACATCACCTGCTTTATGCTTTTCCAAAACCCATCACAAACTCTCACTAATAATTGAGGTGCAGCTCCTCGTTCCTCAAATTTTCTTCTGTTTATCCATGGAAATTGTAAAAGAACTTTGCTTTTGCTTGTGATTTACTCTTTCTCTGCCTCTCAGTTTCTTGTCCTTTTCTATCGTGTCTGGCCATAGTCTCATTCGATAGAGGCATTTCAGGCAGCAGCACAACTGAAATATTGTTCAAATTAATGTACACTACTAGCTACTGTTCAATTTGGTATTAAAAACTGCACCCCGTTTTTGCTTACAACTAAAGCGATGCTCATAATTTGTTTTTAAGCAACTCATCTCTGGTAGTTATGGAGTAAATCTCCAATTCTTCTCACATGCCCTGTTCATGGCAGCAGCCACGTGAAAACAAGACAGGTCGTTTTCAAACAGGGGTTCATCTGAAAAAGACTAATTGAAAAGAAAAAAAAAAAAAGCACCGTCGGTATCGTCACAATACCATGAAATCTCAAAAAAAAAAAAAAAAAAACTGATTAATCATCTTGTCAAAGCCATCTGTTTTTTTTTCAAAATACAGAATAAGAATTATGTACATTTTTCTCAATAATTGTGTGATAGCTAATCATGGACCCCTGAAATAAATTGCCCCATCTTAACTTGATAATAACAGTTCAAGAAATTTTCAAAAGATTTAGAGATTGATATATGTTTTAAATCTGCTTTTGGTTACTGGCCCCCCAGAGTCATTGGACAAAGGGTTACATTACTAACAGCTAGCCTGGGCTCCATATTAGAGTTTGCAAATGGAATTTGTTGAATTTGGACTACAAACAAATATGCAAGCTAAGAATCAGACTTGGTTCAATGACTTACTACACTAACAAAAGTCTTTAGGCATGAAATCACCCAATCAATAAAGCTAAGCTGAAATGATAGATATGATGTTTTTGGCTTGCAAAATCTTGATGAATATTACTACTAGTTACTTTTCCGAAGTTCATAAATGTCATTCAAATTTTCTACCTGCTTTTTTTATTGAGTCGATGGACTTTTATTATATCCAAATCAGGGAGTTTCAAAAGGGATTCATAAAGTAATCGAACATAAAATGATTCTACCATCTAAACCCTTTGTCCCTGCCTTCCAATTATTGTGCCTATGATGGGGCTTCCCAGTCCATGTCAACTTTGCTTGAAGTTCTACGTGACTTTGTGGCTGGTCTGGTCTTCCTTTATTTGCAAATTACTTTCTTGTTAAGAAATGAACTCTGCCACTGTGGTGATTGCTAGTCCATGATCGAACACATTCAGACACTACAAGAGGAGGATTTCTAATTCATCTCCTCAAAATCTTTGAATAATTCTGGGTTTAATCTCACCATTGTACCATCGATCGATATCATAATTAATTTTACCTTTTATCTAAATAAAATCTAAATTTATGTTAAAAAGTTTCGATTTAAAGTACTACAACTTTGTAATTTTCTAATGGCTTCATGTTCTTGATGATTGCTTAATAATGTTTAAGTTCAAGTTTCCGAAGGCCTAATTATCATGTAGCCATCCAACCAAAAGAGTTGGCAACGGACAGAATTTTTAACAATGAGAAATGGGCACCTGAATAGTGTCCTTTGATACAAGTTTTGATTGTTGAAACCAGCATGGGCAAATCACAATGAGAGCTTTTACCTTTTAGAGACCAAAAGGGAAGTATATTTCGCAAACAATTCTATATTCCATGAAAATGCTTGTGCAATCAGCCTACTATTTCAGAACCCGATAACCTGAATCAGGTGCTCTTTTTTCCCAACCCTTTTTTTGTTGAGCATTTGATTGGAATATTTTATATCATACAATTTGCAAAAAGTAAAAGAGCATGACATGGTTCCCAGCTCTGGAATTATATCTAAAGAACCTCAGCCAAACTAGTTAATTCACTATGCATCGCTAGGAAGTAGCACAACCATCTTCATCAATACAAGAAATGTCCTTTTCGTTTTTTATGTAAAAAGACTATAACAGGATTTGAATGTGCAATTACTGCTTTAAGATATAGTCTTAAAGACACCGGTACGCAGATCGAGCCCTAGTTGTATCTCAGAAGCTTTCTTGTTTAGAAATTATCCATAAAAGCAATACCATGACCCTTATGCATTGCTTGCCATTAGCATTATTGAATTACACGGCGAGAGCGGGGAGTTAGTTGTTTATTTTTTCTTTTTCTTGAATACATTTTCTAGCAAGCTTTGAATTTTCTTTTGAAGTAAAAAAAAAAAGGTCCATATTTCCAGTACCCATCTGGTAGCTTGGGAAAAAGAATTAAGGCTGGATCTAGGGGAAAACATTGGGCCCAAGTTAATTAGGCTGTTTAGGGGCCTCAAACGTGATCTGGTGTCAGGTAATGGACCAAAGCCACATTTTTTACGTTTACTTCCCTTATAGAAACGTCAGCATGTAGAATTGCAAGGGACGGGCAGACAGACAGCAAGAGGTAAATGGCTATGGTAAGTTCACTTGACTAGTATCTGATCCTGATTTCAAGAAGCAACAACTATTTACTATCTTTCAAGTTATAAAGCCAAGAGTTGGATAAATTCAATTGTCTGAAATCTGGGGTTTGGCTCTATTGCATGCAATTGGCTATTCCAATTCCCTTTTATGTGAATACTCTTTCTTTTCTTTAATTCACAAACATATAGTAGTAACATATCTTTGATTTGAAAAGATCTAGCAAGCATATATTTATTTGCATAAAAATCGATTTATAAAGAATGGTCTTGGCAAGAAAGCAATATCAAAGTCAAACTGGATTGGATACAAGAGGACAAGAAAAACTTAAAGCTATATTATCATTATTTTGCAGGTCATACATACAAAAGATGAACAATTCCAATAGCTTCCTAGTGGCAAGGATGGATTTTGAATTGCAAAAATGGTAAAAAGATGAAATCAATCTCCTACGCTGTTGATGCACCGGGGGGCATTGGCTAGAAGAGTAGTAGAACCAGTTTCGAATCTCAGGAATTCCACACGTAAATAATTACGGGCTTGCTTCTTTCCTTATTGACTTCATAATTTCTTGGATTACATCCAAATTCCCAAGGACAGGCATATGGAAGAACGACCATTTTTGTGTTGCAACTCTAGTGAACTTATAAGGCCCATGTTTATGTTTTGATCATTTGTAAGGCAATCAAAGCCTAGTCAATGATGCAAACAAAGTCAATTGTTTCACTTCAACGGCAGTGCACAAAACAAAAGTGTTTGATCTGACAGGATAATGTCTTAGAAGAATAAAAGGCAGGGAAACCTCGGGTTGTCCGATCTATACCAGATTATGTACGACTATGACCCATAAAATCTGGAATTGTGGTTCCACATTGAAAGTCCTAATCATCATCGATCATACAATGGATTCCAAAATTCGAACGGTTACGATGATTTCCGGATGACTCAAACTCTATCCAACTAAATACACCTGCTTACATGTGATTCATTCAAATGGCTCTTTCAACCCTCACTCGCTTCTCTACTACTACTTCTTCACCATTCTCTCCCGCTCTAATTTTCAACCATTTCAGTAAAAGTATCATCTTAACTATCGCTACTAAGAAGAAGAGTCAGTCCCACAGTTACAAAATAATGGCTTCTTCACAGGCTCATGTACCCTTATCACAAGACAAAAAAATAACAGCTCCATACGGTTCCTGGAAATCCCCATCACCGCCGATATTGTTTCAGGCTCCTCCAAACGGCTTGGAGGCACCGCTGTTGACTCCCAAGGACATCTCTTTTGGCTCGAGTCACGCCCTTCTGAATCAGGGTAACTTAAACTCTTAAACACTAACAACCCTGATTATCTCGGATGGCTTAATCCAATGGGTTGACCACTATCTGTCAATACCCATTTGATGTTATTTGTATATTCAAGACTACATATTCATTTTTTTTTTTTTTGTTTATAGACGGGCAGTTCTTGTGAAAGAAGCGGAGAAGCCTGGAGAGGAACCCATTGATATTACGCCAAAGGAATTTGCTGTTAGGACGGTGGCTCAAGAGTATGGAGGAGGAGCGTTTAGGATTTTTGGAGATAATGTTATTTTCTCCAATTATAAAGATCAGAGACTGTACAAGCAACCAATCAGTTCCAAAGGTTCGAATTGCCACTATATCTGTTTTACTCTTAAGTTAAGGTTTTGATTGGAATTTGTTAGCTGATTATAATGAGTGGCAAAGCAGATCCTTGTCCTACTCCAATTACTCCAGATCATGGAGGACCGGTTGTTACTTATGCTGATGGAGTTTTTGATTCAAGGTTTGATCGTTATATCACTGTAATGGAAGGTTAGACCTTTTTGATATGTTGCTTATCTCTACTGTTAATGCGGTTTTCAAATTGTCCTTTTATATTGATTCAATGTTATCACC